CTTAGTAAAGATAATAAAGCAGAGAGAACTCAGTATCTTCATTAACACTGGCATAATACCATCATTTTCAACGGCTGCCACAAAGGGGCATGTTCATTGGTCCAATGAACACAGCACACACTGAAATTACTTCATTCAGACAAGTGCAATAAAGAAGAGAAGAAGAAGAGAAGAGATTGGATTTATACCCCACCCTTCACTACTCGAAGGTGTCTCAGAGCGGCTTACAATCTCCTCTCCCTTCCCCTCCCCACAACAGACACCCTGTGAGGTAGGTGGGGCTGAGAGAGTTATGACAGAAACTGCTCTTTTTCAAGAATAGCTCATCAGAACTACAGCTTGCCCAAGGTTGTCCGGCCAGGTGCAAGTGGAGGAGTGGGGGAAACAAACCCGGTTCTCCCAGATTAGAATCCGCACACTTAACCACTACACCAAACTGGCTCTCTGGCTAAAGGTAGCCGTATGAGTTGTTCTCCCCCACCACGTTGGCTATTGATGCTGGAGGAGGCAGTGTTAGGAACCTAGGGTTCCCCCCCCCCTCCAGATTCCCTCAGTACATGTTCTGTCCTATGAACTCCTGACGGCTTTTGCCTTTCTCTTCCTTTCATCCACATTGGACTTCAAGTAAACAGAGTATTTTTAAAGGCTCAATGAAATTTCTGCTTATTTTCTTTCTTAATGAAAGAGTACTTCAAGCTAGTACAATCATGAGATCACTCTTACAACCAGCAGCCCATCTCAGTAGAACCAGAGGGGAACCTCGACCACAGACTAGAGGGTGAGAACACATAGATCATTCACACAAGGGGGGGGGATAGCACTAAGGTGGGTCAACAAATTAAGAGTTAAAACTCCTCAGGACAAATTTGGAGTGGGAAAGGTCACCTTAAATCCAACGATCCCATGTCATGACCAGAACGCATTTCTTTTTGCATGGGAAAGATCTATATTTAAAGGGCAAAAGGACCCTGAGTTCTGCAGCAGCTCTAGGGAGTACAGACAGTGTAGGGAGGAAGCAGAACCCCTTCCAGATACTGTGGTTAAAAAAGAAAATTCCTAGTAAAGATAATAAAGCAGAGAGAACTCAGTATCTTCATTAACACTGGCATAATACCATCATTTTCAACGGCTGCCACAAAGGGGCATGTTCATTGGTCCAATGAACACAGCACACACTGAAATTACTTCATTCAGACAAGTGCAATAAAGAAGAGAAGAGATTGGATTTATACCCTACCCTTCAGTACCCGAAGGTGTCTCAGAACGGCTTACAATCTCCTCTCCCTTTCCCTCCCCACAACAGACACCCTGTGAGGTAGGTGGGGCTGAGAGAGTTATGACAGAAACTGCTCTTTTTCAAGAATAGCTCTTCTCAGAACTACGGCTTGCCCAAGGTCGTCCGGCCAGTTGCAAGTGGAGGAGTGGGGGAAACAAACCCGGTTCTCCCAGATTAGAATCCGCACACTTAACCACTACACCAAACTGGTCTCTGGCTAAAGGTAGCTGTATGGGTTGTTCTCCCCCACCATGTTGCCTATTGATGCTGGAGGAGGCAGTGTTAGGAACCTATGGTCCCCCCCCCCCGATTCCCTCAGTACATGTTCTGTCCTATGAACTCCTGACAGCTTTTGCCTTTCTCTTCCTTTCATCCACATTTGACTTCAAGTAAACAGAGTATTTTTAAAGGCTCAATGAAATTTCTGCTTATTTTCTTTCATAATGAAAGAGTTCTTCAAGCTAGTACAATCATGAGATCACTAAGACTTACAACCAGCAGCCCATCTCAGTAGGACCAGAGGGGAACCTCGACCACAGACTAGAGGGTGAGAACACAGAGATCATTCACACAAGGGGGGGGGGATAGCACTAAGGTGGGTCAACAAATTAAGTGTTAAAACTGCTCAGGACACATTTGGAGTGGGAAAGGACACCTTAAATCCAAAGATCCCATGTCATGACCAGAAAGCATTTCTTTTTGCATGGGAAAGATCTATATTTAAAGGGCAAAAGGACCCTGAGTTCTGCAGCAGCTTTTCAGGGAGATCTAGGGAGTACAGACAGAGGGAAAACCAATGGCCCCTCCCCTGCACAAGAGAAAGTGCCTTCTGCTCACAGAGCAAGATGTTTTGATTAAAGACCTGCCATGGAATCAAGGTCTGAACATTATGTCTGATACTCAGCTATCAAAGGCTGAATTCCCAGGAACACTGCAAGCCCTGCCACCATCATCTACTATTTAGACATATGGGCTTTGTCCAAAGAAGTTTTGCCCTTGATTAGTTATAAAGCATAATCTGAATGGTCTAAAATCGTGTACTGTATACATATGGTATGCTATTGCCAGTTTCATTTTTACACTTGTCCTTTTTGACAACATCTTCTGCCCACGTGGGCTCAACGGGAATTTCCACTGAATTTTTATAGGCTTTCTTCAGTGATGGGGTGATGCTGCCATTTTTCTCATTATAGCTATTCCCTACTTGGACAAAGGTTGCTTCCTGCTGGCTACAACACAACTGGGGGTCACAAGAGTTGGAGATACAGGGGGCACTGCACAGGATCTCGGGGCTCTTGTGGTCCGTGTACTCTGGCTGGATGGTCACTGAATGGACCCCCGCTTCATGGAACACCTCCCTCATTCTGTAAGACGCCTCTTGGTAATCAGACGTGGTGTGACATTTGACGTGGAGGGTGGCAATATTCTTTCCACTGACAAGCTCCCAGACATGCACCTCATGAATGCTGCTAACACCTGGCACTTCCGACAGTTTGTTTGCTAGAAAAAAACAACAGCAGAAACAAGGAGAAAATAAGTCAAGTGAGATTTCCTGCTACAGCTATATTTTTTTTAAACACGGGGCTCAAAAAGGTATTTTAGATTCTTAAATACCAAGTATGCAGAGACCCTGTACCCTGCATACTTAAATACCAGCATCTACTTTTAGGGTTTTTCCCCCCAGCCTTTCTCCGGAGAATATCTCATACCAGGATAACACAATTGTCCCTAAACTCTTATAAATCCCATATAAATGTAAAAGGACTCAATAAGTAGCATAGATCACACTTCTGATTCTGTTGAACAAAAATGTTTGGTATGGGCAAAATGTCCTGAAAACTTTAGGAAGCTACATCAAAAGCAAAACAGAACAATAGTGTACTGTTGATTATGAAGCTGCAAAAGTAGGACTGTCAAGGTACAGGGTCTCTGCATACTTGGGAGTCCTCATGAGGTCGGGAAAAGTGGTTAAGATGCTGAACTGCAGGCTGTGGAAGGTCAGTAGTTCAGCAGTTCGAGACCCGAGTTGCCGCATGACGGAGTGAGCTCCCGTCTCTAGTTCCAGCTCCTGCCAACCTAGCAGTTCGAAAGCAAGAAATTGCAAGTAGATAAATAGGTACCACTTTGGTGGGAAGGTAACAGCATTCCATGCACCTTGGTGTTTAGTCATGCCAGCCACATGACCACGGAAACGTCTTCGGACAGCGCTGGCTCTTCGGCTTTGAAACAGAGATGAGCACCGCAACCCTAGAGTCGGACTCGACTGGCTTTCAAGCAAGGGAACCTTTACCTTTACCTAGATTTGGAAGAGTTGTATGGGATTTCTAAATTGTTTATCTCAGCCCCAGTATTTCCTTGCAGGCCCCCAGCTTGTACTCCATAATGCAAAACCATTGAGCGATGGTTTACAATAACTAGGTTAGAAACCTCTAAAAATGTGCACAGCATCATAACAAATATTTGGAAAAACAGCTGCTGAAGGTTTGCTTTTTTGCTTGCTTTGTAGAAGTGCCACGTTCTTGAAATGCATGCTTTCACTAATCCAGCAAGATTTGAGTCACGTTGCTAGGACACCACCATGTGACTCAGGTACTCAACACTCTTGAGAATTTAGAGCTGGGATGAAGGTATAATCCAGAGGCTTTTAAGTATGCTACTAGCAGTAAAATAGGCACGCGCTCCGCCAACTGCATTGGCTACCAATTGAGTACCAGTTTCACTTCAAGGTGCTGTTTTGACCTTTAAAGCCTTATACGGCCTGGGACCAACATATATAAGGGACCACCTCTTCCTATATATGCCTCAAAGAGTATTACGCACTAAAGATCAACACCTTCTGGTGCTCCCTGGCCCGAAGGACACCCGTCTTGCCTCAACCAGGGGCAGGGCTTTCTCTGTCCTGGCCCCAGCCTGGTGGAACATGCTCCCTATTGAGACCAGGGCCCTGCGGGATCTTCTTCAATTCCACAGGGCCTGCAAGACGGAGCTGTTCCGCCAGGCCTTTGGCTGAGGCAACAGTGGAAGTGCATAGAATATTGATGCAGCAACCACAACGATAACTGAGCCAAGGGCATCTCCCATTACATGCAAAAGAACACCTGGAACAGGAAAGGAATCATTCAGTGGCTTTGATGGTGATAAGAAGGGAGGGCTTCCAGTGCAGTAAATGTAAACTAGAGCTTGATCAAAACTTATTTTTGAAAGTATCTCATGTTAAATATAATATTAACACACAACTAGCTAGTCCAGTTTATTTAGTTAGGATGTTTCTATTCCACCTCTTAATAGTCCTGCTCAAGGTGGCTTAAAATTAAAACTAGATCATAATATTAAAAACAACCCATTAAAACCAACCTTTTGGACATAAACCATGTAAGCACTATCCATAAAACAGAAGTAAGTATTTTTAAAATCTGGTAAGATAATACCTCTAATTAAAAGCCAAAAGAAAGCAGAGTATGTGCCAGGAAAGTCTTAAGAGGGAGGGCATTCCAAAGACAAGGTGCCACCACACAAAATGTCCTGTCTCTACTTGCTACCTGCCTCACCTCTGAAGAGCACAGAGAGTAGGGTTTGAGCATTAACATAAATTAGTCAACAGAAGAAATTTAAAGAATTGCCTTTGAGAACAGAAGAAAAAAATGAATACGAGTCACTTTATGCATGAAATTTGACTACATAGGTATACCCCAATGTGTAAAGGTTGCACATGTTCACTTTGGCACATATAAACACATTGCCCCACTGTGCCTTCCCACTGCCTGTGTATGCAGTAAAACTAACATGATTTTCACACACTCTCCCTTATTCCCATATAAGTAAAATGTCATGAGTGCTGTTAGTCTTCAGGGTGCCACTAGATTTCCGTTGTGTGAAGTTGCCTGATATTCCAAAAAGCCATACCACTGCATAGTTACATTTGTTTGAATAAAGTTAATACGAACTAGGGCCATAGCAGTCTGCAGGGCCCCATGTGTAAACATTAAACCATCTATCCCTTTGCTTTCTGCCTACCCCCATTTTTGCCTCCATAGTTCAGCAGCTGTGTCAAAACATGTGGTAGTCAAATGGGGAGAGACTGGCTGGTTTGGGGGGGGATCTAACTATATTATTTAGTAAACATTCTAAAAACTTGTTATTCTTGTATGCATAGTTTATGAAATCTAATATGTACTTGTTCAGAAAGCTTGGTTACAAACAAAAGGTGGTTGTCCACAAAAATGGTGCCCAGACTTTGGAGAAGCCAGCAATTGACTGTGCAGTACCTCTGATATTCAAGGCTTCAGACTTTTTCTCTTTTTTCTTTATCACCTCTTCCTCAGGCAAGTTCTGGATATTTATGGAGTCACCTGCATTCAAAGAAGAAACGCTGTGTTGTGTATAAGTTCTACAAACAGAAAAAACACCAATCTTTTCAAAACCATCTTAAACAAATAGTCAACATTCAAACTAGTGCCTGCATAATTACTTTTTTCACTCTCTCTCTCACACACAGTGTACGTAACATTACAGCACCATTATTAGCCAACAAAGTATTTCATGGACTTTGCTTTAATGATACTTGTGAAGTTTACAAACTCCAATGCACATGAAGATATTCATATATATATATACTGAGTCATTTGTATTTAAGACTGCTGCAACCTTTCTCTGTGCTTCTTTGTATAAGAAAATTAGGAAAACTAAGGTGAGCATGAGAACTATCTGAAAACAAAAAGTTTCTGGTGAGCAAGAACACCACAGAAAAAGAAGTGTTGCTGAGGAAGAATAACAAATGTGAAAGACAAAAAGAGAGAACAGAGGGATTTGAAAGAAAGGGGGGAGTGATAAAAAATGTGCGAAAAAAAGGCTTGACAAGAAATTATTGTTGTTGTTGTTGTTGTTGTTATCCCAATCTCTCCTGCTGCAGGGCTCTGGGCGATATACAATATGAATAAGAACATACACTAAATACTACTTGTGGCATTCAAAGATTGTCTCATTCAATCTACTTTAATGTAGCAAGAATTATATACTCCACATTCTTGACCTGCATACCTCAGTAAAATTGTATTATTATATATATACTATGTATTTGTTTAAAGAATAAGTCTTTATGTCAAAAAGGGCAGGCCAAACAACAATAAAAGGAAAGGCAATAGCTTGGGGGCTAGGGAACATAGAATGGAGAGCAGAAAAAGCTGAGAATTTACAAAAGCTATGATTTGAAAGTGGGTTTTGCCATTTCACACAGTAAAATCCAGTTGCAAAATGCACTGAAAGTGCATTATTCAGCATGTGTAAAAGAAGCATAAAAGTAAGTTGTGATGATCCAAGTGTGAAACAGTTTGAAAAAGAGAAGAAATTAAAATGTGTCAGTCTAATGAGACAGAATTCAAAAAATAAAGAAAAGGTAGGTAAAAGTGGTTCAAAACAGTACAAAGGAAATCTCAAAAGGATGGAAAAGGTGAAAAAATGGGGGGAAAGAGCACAGGACGAGGAAGGAAGGAAGGAAGGAAGGAAGGAAGGAAGGAAGGAAGGAAAGCGCCTGGGTCGCAGTGGTTTGGCCCTCCCGGCGGAGGCCCCTCCAAGGCGGCGGCGGAGGAGGAGGAGGTCGCAGGGCCGTCCTCCGGGGGGAGTCCGTCTTCGTGGCCGGGAGGCGAGGGCGGGCGGCGTCGGCGGCAGGGGGGGCAGCAAGCGGCCCAGTTCTGGAAGACGAGGAGGCCCACGAGGTTGACGGCCAGGCCCAGGGTTCCCACCACGAGGATGAGCGGCGGGTCGCTGATGGGCTCCGGCCGCGCCAGCCGCTGCAGCGCCTCCATCAGGATGGTGAAGTAGAGAGCGGCCAGGAAGACGGCGTTGCTGAGGGCGCCCACCACCTCGGCCCGCCCGTAGCCGAAGGAGGCCCGCGGGCTGCGGCGGCGGCGGCGGGAGATGCGCCCGGTGACCAGGCCCACGCACAGCGCGATCAGGTCGGAGAGCATGCTGAACGAGTCCGAGACCAGCGCGATGGAGTTGCCCACGTACCCGGACACCAGCTCGGCCACGAAGAAGCCCGCCGTCAGCACCAGCATGAAGCTCAGCCGGCACGCCTGGCCCGTGTAGCGCCCCATGGCCGGTCAGCTAGCAGCAGCAGCAGCACCCGCGCTCAGACTCCCCGCCGCCTGCCTGCCTGCCTGCCCCGACGGGTGTGTGGATGGATGGATGGATGGCGGCTGCCCCTTTGGACCGGCGGGCATCGAGTTGGGCGCGCCGACCGATAAGCGCTGTCAGCAACAAGTGCGCCTCCCGACTCTCTGCCCTTTGCTTTATAGGGGCGCGGCGGGCGGGGGAGCGCCCGCCCCCCCCCACCATCCTGCTGCCCGCCTCGTTGGAAGCATCGGGGCTGGCAGAACTGCGCCTTGGCATGGCTGCCTGGGAAGGAGAAGCTCTGCGAGTAAGACTTTTAGGAATGATTCCCTGCCGTTACTTGGAGTCTCCTGTTGCCATGGTGGGCTTCACAGTGCAGGCCTAAGCAGAGTCACTCTCGCCTAAATCCACTGAATTCGGTAGGGTTAGAGAGAGGCTGGGAAAGATTGAAGGTCAAAGAAGACGGGGACGGCAAAGGATGAGATGGTTAGACAGTGTCATAGATGCAAACAACATGAAATTGAGCCAACTTCAGAGGACGGCGGAAGACAGGAGGGCCTGGCGGGAGATGATCCATGGGGTCGCGAAGAGTCGGACTCGACTGTGCGACTGAACAACAACAACAGAGAGAGGCAATTCTGTTTAGGACTGCAGTGTCAGTGTTACTGACTCCGCTTTCCAATAAATAGGACAGATGGACTCCCATTCTAGCTGTAGCTGAAGAAGTGGGCAGTGACTCGGGGAAAGCCGGCCCCATAGTTTGCCCCATATTTTGTTAGTCTTTAAAGAGCTACTGAACTCTTGCTCTTTTCTACTGGTTTTATGGTAACTTTAGCTTTTTAGCCTACTGGATTATTTTGTTAGCTCCCTTGAATGATGGCCATGAAGTAGAAAGATGACATATAAATTAATAAGTGTCTTGCACATCAGCGGTTCCCAGCCTTTTCAGTATGGTGGCCCACAAGTCCAGTGACTCATCTAGGGGCGCTATAGGCAAATTATGACCTCATCACCCATCTATTCCAGTACTCCATTGTCTGTAGTGCCCAACCAGATGCTTCTGAGAACCCAACAAACATCACACAATGGGCACAGCTGCCCCCACCATGAACCCCAAGCATATGGTGGTTCTGACATGCATAGCCTTTGCCTACACAAAGCCTTTGACCACCCTTTCATTCTCCATTGCTCCCTCCAATCCCCCCTAAGATCTTAAGAAACTCAGTCTAGTAACCAACAGAACACTTTTTGGCAATCAACATGTATATGCATCAAAGAAAAAATACTAACGAATGGAAGATACTGTTTCCAGGGTCAGATCTTGGTTCCCAAAATACAAAAGAGGGCATTGGGCAGGGGCAGTCATTAGGGAGGGCTGGCCTGCAACCCACTTTCAGAGACCCACAGGGTGGGAAACACTGCTGTACATGATGCATTACTTACCACCGTGATATGGCATTGCTTGATCTTGCAACTTCAGTGTGTTGAAAGTGAATATATGAACCTGCTTTTCACAATCATGTTGGAAATCCTAGAATCCTCAAATGAGGATGAGCTAATGATCATGTTTCAGTCCATATAGGAGGAGCTGTAACGCAGGCCACCCAGTTGCCACTGAAAATGGCATGAGTACCTTTAGCTTTCTTAGCTGTGCACTCAGTTTTATAGAGTGGAACCTGCCTTATGATGGGACATCACAATATTCAGCATTTCTCTGGATAGGGAATGCCTGCTATCAGAAGGGAATGCCTGCTAGATGATACACAAGGGGGGGTTGAAATGCACATCTGATGTTTTAGGGGCATTTGCAGTGCAGTCCTAAGGTGAGTCACAGCCTTCTATCTCCCATCAAAATCAATGGGCTTTGAAGGGTGTAGCTCTGCACTACTTCCATACCCATAATAAATTAAATGCACGTCACTGGCTGTGCGATCATTAAACAAGTTACAGCCCACTTAAGTCAGCGAGCTTAGAAGGATATAACTGGTCAAAAATGCAGTGTAATCGCATCTTTAAGAAATCAGCACATGATTTACAGTTCCACAGCAATTGGTGTGTTGTTTTTTTTCTTCCTGTGGACTGGTCCCCACTCTGGGTCAGAGTCCTGAATGAAGGGCCAACAGATATTGATTTTGTGAACAATTACAGTGCCACTCCTGGTCTGGCTTTCTGCTAATCTTTCTCAGTAGCATGTGTTTGCTTGGAAAACAGAGCTGGAAGAGACCTCAAGGGTCACAATGCAGGAAATTTACAACTACTTCCCACTCACCCCCATTCCCCTCAGTGACCCCTGCTCTATCAGAGGAAGGCAAAATACCTCCAGGATCCCTGGCCAATCTGGCCTGGAGGAAAATTCCTTCCTGACCCTGAAGTGGTGGTGGGTGTAAGAAAAGGCAATGAGGCAGAGCACTGGTTCATCCCTTCCTGCCCTCCAAATCAGCATTCACCAAAGTTCACTGAATCAGCATTGCTCTCAGATTACCATCTAGCCTCTTCTTTAAAACCTCCAAAGAAGGAGAGCCCACCACCTCTCAAGGAAGCCTATTCCACTGAGGAACCACTCTAGCTGTAAGGAAGTTCTTCCTAATGTTTAGCCAAAAACTCTCAATTTAATTTCAATCCACTGGCTCTTGTTTGATTGTCTGGAGCAACAGAAAACAACTCTGCCCCATCCTCTATATGACATCCCTTCAAATACTTGAAGATGGCTATCATATCACCTTTCAGTTGTCTCCTTTCCATGCTAAAAATACCCAGCTCCTTCAACCTTTCCTCACAGGACTTGGTCTCCAGACCACTCACCATCTTAGTTGCCCTCCTCTGGACACATTCCAGCTTATCAGCATCCTTGAACTGCAGTGCCCAAAACTGAATACAGTACTCTAGGTAAGGTCTAACCAGAGCAGGGTAAAGTAATACCATCACTTTGCATTATCTGGACACTATACTTCTGTTGATACAGGCCAAAATTGCATTTGCCTTTTTAGCTACCGCATCACACTGATGACTCATATTCAGTGTATGGTTTACTAAGACCCCCTAGATCATTTTTGCAAGTACTGCTTCCAAGGTAAGTCTCCCCCACCCTGTAATTATGAATTTGATTTCCCCCCCCTACCTAGATGCAGAACTTTACATTTATCTGTTGAAATTCTTGTTAGTTTTAGCCCAGTTTTACAGCTTGTCAAGATCAGAATTGTACACAGTATTCCAAATGAGGCCGCACCATATATCTATACATGGACATAACAATATTGGTCATTTTATTCTCAATCCCTTTCTTAATAATCCCAAACATAGAGTTTGCCTTTTTTCACCACTGTAGCACACTGGGGTTGACACTTTCATTGGGCTATCCACTATGACCCCAAGATCTTTTCCCCTCTCAGTCCCAGCAAGTTCAGACCCCATTAGCCTATACTTGAAGTTGGCATTTTTTGTCCCAATGTGCATCACCTTACACTTACTAACATTGAACTTCATTTGCCACATTATTGCCCACTCAAGCAGTTTGTGGAATTTCTCTTGGAGCTCTTCACAGTCAGCCTTGGTTTTCACTATCCTGAATAATTTTGTGTGATCTGCAAACTTGGCCACTACACTACTCACCCCTAGTTCCAGATCATTGATGTATAAATAGTACTGGCCCCAATACCAATTCTTGTGGGACCACACTTTTTACTCCTCTCCATTGTGAGAACTGTCCATTGATTCCTACTCTTTGCTTCCTGTCATTTAATCAGTTTTAAGTCCATAAGAGAACCTGTCCTCTTATCCCATGACTGCTAAGTTTACTCAGGAAGTCTTTGATGAGGTACCTCGTCAAAAGCATTTTGAAAGTCCAGGTATATAATGTCTACCGGGTCACCATTGTCTATACATGCTTGATTACTTTCTCAAAGAACTCCAAATGGTTGGTGAGGCACGACTTCCCTTTACAGAAGCCATGCTGATTTTCCTTCAGCAGGCTTTGTTCCTCTATGTGCCTAACAAGTCTTACTTTTGGTTACAGTTTCTACTAATTTGTCTGGGACAGACATTAGGCTGACTGGCCTGTAATTTCCTGGTTCCCCTCTGGATCCCTCTTTAAAACTAAGTTTCACATTTGCTACTCTCCAGTCTTCTGGTACAGTGGCTGGATTTAGTGATAGGTTACATATACGGGTTAGTAGATCAACTATCTCACATCTGAGTTCCTTAAGAACTCTCGGGTGGATGCCATCAGGACCTGGAGGTTTATTGGTTTTTAATTTCCCGGGTAGATCTAGAACTTCTTCTCTGGTCACCTCAGTTTGGCTCAGTTCTTCAGACTCCCTTCCTGAAAATAGGGGCTGTGGCATGGGTTTTTCACAGTGAACATAGAAGCAAATTTGAGCTTCTCTGCCATCTCCTCATCTTCCTTTAGCAATCCCTTGATTCCTTTGACATCCAAAGGCCCCACTGCTTCTCTGGCTAGTTACCTGCTCCAGATATATTTTAAAAAATGTTTATTGTTTGTCTGGATGCTTTTAGCATGCCTAATTATTTACTTACATTTATTGTGCCAGTGCCTGCCCTGTTCAATTCACTGGGGCAGACCTTCCACTTTTTTTAAAAAAAAGCCTCTTTACGTTTTATAGCTTCCTTGACTTGCGTTGTTAACCACACAGGCCTTCTTTTAGACTTGGCAGTGCCTTTCCTAAGCTGTGAATCCATTCTATTTGGGCTTCAATTAGTGTGACTTCCAAGCATCCTCTAGGGATTTGACTCTTGACCTTTCAGCTTCCTTTTTACTGTTACCCTCATTTTTGTAAAGTTCCCCCTTTTGAAATCAAATGTGAAAGTTCTGGACTTTAGGGGGTAACATTCCATTGACTTGAATGCTGAACTTAATAGCATTGTAGTCACTGTTCCCAATTTGAGTAACAATCTCTACATCTCTCACCAGGTCTTGAGACCCACTCAGAACCAAGTCCAAGATCACTGCCCCTCTGGCTGGCCCTGT